GTTCGTATCCGGTTTTCTTCTCTCTATCGGAACAACGCCGGAACGGCTCCCTCGGCGGCGCGGCGGCTGCGGACGATCCAATTCACGTGCACGTTCGCGTGCCTCCTCCTCCTCTCTCATCTCCTTTTTCCTTTCGACTCCTGTCTACGGCGAAGGCGAAGGCGAAGGCGAAGGCGAAGGCAGAGTACTCTTGCGTAGTCGTCGGATCGCTCGGCGCGCTTTCAGCTTTCAGGAATACGGGGAAGACTTAACGGTCCGATTAAGTTGAGAAATTTGAGACTTGTGGAACTTTATTACGTAGTTCCTTTCATTCTCTTCTATTATGAATGTCAATGAAGGACTAAACTTTTTTCGCTGCTCTCGATTACGAGCGCAGGTCGCGGCACAAATAGATCCTTCAAACTCGTTGACTTTGGTATTTCGACTTCAACCGATCCCGCGCCGAAATGTATTTGTTTTCTCCGGAGCGTAAAAGTAGCAGTCGAATTTACGTCGAAATTTAAGTTCGACTCGATGGTGTATTTGAGAACACTGAGGACGTCTTCGAGCTGACAAAAGCTGATAAAATGCCGAGTAAGTTCGAGAAGGATTTTACGCGCGATGTAAATGGCTCAAGACGAGAAAAGTTTTGGCACGGTTTTCAGGTGGTTCGCGACGAAATGTAAAGATTGGCTGATTTAACGGGTTGTTAGCGGCGAAGATAACACGCTCGGCTTCTCCCCTCGCGGGGGCGGGGAAGCGCGCCTCGAAATGTGTGCCGAGATTTGTTTCCCTCCGAACGTGTAATTATACAAACACTCCGTGACGGTCCAAAGTTCTTTCTCATTCCTCTTTAACAATATTGTTTACGGCGTTGTGTATTATACAACTTACATTAACTCTTGGACAAACTTAATTATAATTCTCACTCCCGCGGCGTGAAATGGTATGCAAACACTCGCAGAGCAGAGCGACGTTTGAGCTCCGCTTTCGCAAATGATGTTCGGAGTCTAAAGTTTTGATTGTTATTGCGCGCTCCTTTGTTCCGTATAATCGCCATGGAATATCGCCAGCTATTTCGATTTCGGCAAAGTTAAACCTAAGTTACTCCCGTTACTCCGAGTGAGATGGTAGACTGTGGACAATCTACGGATAATTGGGCCGAACATCAACGTTGCAGCGTCGCCCCGCCGTCCACTCCGTCCTTCCCCCCCCTTCCCCCCTTCGCGTCTCTTGCCGGTTTGCATCCATTCGCTCGCTATTGAATTTCGGAAACAAACGCGATCTTTTCATTTTACTCCTTCGCTCCCCCCCCCCCCTCCGCGCCACATATCTGGGTCGCGTTTTGTATACATGTGGAACGCTGCACATCGCTGTGTATCTCTCAGATTTTTAGCAGAATAGCAGAAGGTAAAAAATCACGCGGAGAGAAAATAATTTTCGAACATTTTGGGTTAAGTAGCGAGAATTACAAAACCTCGTGTCCTCGTTTGCGGGAAATGGCATATAAATTACCATAATTAGAGGGAAAATGACGAGACGCACAAAATTGGGTCAATTCGACTAATCATCATCTCGCCGATAACTATTTTCGCACCTGTATGAATTCAAATTACAGCTATTGAACAATTATTCGCATTCGCTGTTGATTGTTGTATTTTCATACCGCGAGATACAATAGGATCATCAATATTGTGTTTCAGTTTACGTTTACAAGGTACGTTTATTTATAACGAAGACATTCTCTTGAATTCTGCTGTCGCAGAATCTAATTCCGAGTTGTGTTGCACCCTCTTTCATCGCTCACGCGGGACAAACATCTCACTCGTTTCCGATACAATTTGTCTGGAGTAAACATAATCCTACATTATTAGTTGCTTTGTTACGTTGAAAGCCCTTGTTTAATCTTTTCTCTCACTATTACCACTTATTATCCCGATGGCGTTTGACTAATCCGCAATATACTTTTATCACCGGTTTCGTGAGACGAATGGCGGCGAATCGTGGAGCGAATAAGAGAGCGGAGAGAGAATTATATCGTCATACGCTCTCTTGAGACTCATGAATAAAATTTATTTTATCTCGTTGGAGTCTTAACCTCGGCGAAGTAACTTCATCGATTTCTTCAGGAACTCCGCTTCTCTCTCTCTCTCTCTCTCCCTCTCCTCTCTCGCCCTTATTTAAGGCCTTCATCGAAAAGTAAATAAACCTTCTTTACTTGGACGTCATCACGTTACAGACTACAGCTGACTTCTCTTTGAACGGATTAAACCGTAAGAATCTTCGGACGAGATTTCTCGGCGATATCGATAATCCTTTCTGTTCTCGTTGAGCGCGCGACTCGCGACCCTCCCGCTTCTCCCGCTTTTACCTCGAAGTAGCAGCTCCTCTTCAATGCGTCCTCGCAAATGAGTCGAGCGTCTCTATTGTCCGCTTTTCCCCCGTTCTTCGATCCGTCCGACAATCGTCGCGAGTTTCCCTCGGGCGGGCACGGTCAGGATCTGCATCCTACTTATCGCCATTTTGCGCGATTTCGCGAAATTTACCTTTACCTCGGGAATTTCCACGCTATTTTCCGCGACATTGGCGTCATCGGCATTTGCGGAGTAAATCGGCATTTATCTGAGGAAACGTAACAAGTCCCGCCGAACCGCGCTGCAAGCACTCATCCCGCCAGTTACGGCTGCGTTCTCTTTTCGCCTCAAAGTTCAGATATTTACATGATACGACACGCGCATTTCAGCGCATTCTAACGAAATTCAAATTCAGCTGCCGAAGGAGCAGCTAGTTATTTCTAATGATATAATGTCCGTCGACTGTAATACATGTCCGCAATCTCTTTGTACATTCAGTACCAAACATCTCATTATTGATCAAAAGGCCGTTATTAATAAAGTTCCGTCCAGAGTGATCTACTCGCAGTAAAATGAATAACTGAATCTTACGCTACGAATTCGCAGCTCAGTGGTTACTCCTTTGGCGTTTTAATCAAGGTGAAATTAGCTTTAAATCGATTACAGGATCCGTCGGCGAAATTAAGACCAAGGAGTCCCAGCGTGGCTTATGTATGCCGTGCTGTCATGGGTTTCCGAGCGTTCACTCACTCTCTCTCTCTCTCTCTCTCTCTCTCTCTCTCTCTCTCTCTCTCTCTCGCGATTTCTTCGCTCGTATCCTTGCTGCAAAGAGCACTCGATTCTGCCGCTTGCAGATCTGTAAGTCCACCTTCGTCATTGTGCTCCGCGGTGCGGGATGACGGTTCGTTGCCTCGTGACTTTGTTAAGCTGTCGAGAGCTTCTATAACCCTCTCACCCTCTCCCTCTCGCGCGCGCGCGCGCTTCTCTTAGCTCGATGAACACGAGTCGGGACGTGCGAGCTTCCTCGGAAGCGCCTCTGAATAAATTCGAAGCGACTGCAACGGCGAACGACTAATTCTCAGCGACGTAGATAATCGAGGATCGCGTGAGTACCGTAAACACGACGCTGACAGGAAGCGCCCGGAAACTGTCGCTCGACCGTGACGCCGCGTCGCCGTGCAAAACGGGGCAAGGGGGTTGTCCGTGAGCGCGATGAATCCCGAAGTTGTCCCGGATACTTATTTCGTCGAGCCAAATTATCGTTCGCCCGGAGATTGTCTAACTCCGTTACTGTCCGGCTCCGGCCTGAGAGTTCCTTACAACTGTCACTAAGTTCCGGAAACGACTGTCGCTACTCGGAGGAGGATCCCCAGACTTGGTTTGCAAAAATTCTCGCGCGTCGTCTGCGTTCCCGTGGAAGAGTAAACAAAGTCGTTGCGGCCGTACTCGTCGCGTTCCGTCTTCAATTTTTCGCAATTTTCCGTCTGGCAATTTTTTGCGCTACCGTTTCTCGACGCTTTATCATTCGCCGTATACCCCGATGACGTGACTAGTGCTTTTGTTATTCTCATCAAGCTGCTCTATCATTCTTTTCCTTTATTTTATTTTTATAACTTGGGTAAATATGTAGAAAAGGGTACACCTCGTCGATTTTTTTCATCTTGAAATATGTTATAAGGGATGAAATTCTGAGTGACTATTCCTGATACAATTATATGGGGTCGTTTATAGTTTCTGAGATATTTGACTTTAAAGATATAATTGTGCGTTATATTTATAATATTAAAGTTATAATTGTATTTTATAATTGTGCGTTGAAATATATTTGAAGTGAACAAGCAGTTTTCATTTATTTTAAATATAGGAAACAGTACATATAAGCGAGAGAGCGGGGCTCTGCCTCTTCCCCGCACCGCCTACCCAAACAAATCCTAACCTAACCTAACTTATTGCATCCTTATATATTTTTGGACATTGTTGAAAAAAGTTCTCTTAAGATCTATCACCTGGCTCAACTTAACTTATTATAATATCTGCATATGATTAGGTGTTGCGGCTTTTAAGGAGATCTTTTCAACATCGCCCAACAATATATAAAGATGCAACAAGTTAGGTTAGGTTAGGATTTTTTTGGGGAAGGAATGCGGGGGAGGAGCGGAGCCCCTCTCCCGCTTATATGTATTGTTTCCTATATTTCTATGTATACACTATGTTTGGATTAACTGTTTGGATTGTACTGTAAATAACGTCAGCTTATGATATCTGGAATTTAATTCCAGGATAATCAAAATCCCAAAATTTTTAAATCAAATATCTCGGAAACTATAAGCGACCCCCATATAGTTGCATCAAGAAGTCACTCAGAATTTCCTTTATAACATCCTTTATAAAATCCTTTATAACATATTTCAAAATGACAAAAATCGCTGAGGATTACCCTTTTCTATATATTTACCTTTTATTTTTATAACTTGTATCTCTTCCATACGCTTTTCACAAAATTTAGACCCCACGCACACGTCCCTCCCCCCTACTTCCTCGCGTGTCCGCCAACGTATTTTTCCGCGTGTGCGCGATTCTAACCAGACTCGAGAGCTTCATGCGTCATCATCTTATCTGGACACACATGACTCGCTTTGCATCTTTCAAAAATTACTGCCACCCCGT